TATAGTTTATTTTTTCGTATATATTTGTGTACCCGTGACGTTGGCTTAGATGTTCAATTCTTTTCGAATAAAAACATGCATATCAAAAAAGTACTGTAGTTTACGAAATAAAAGTTTTTTGTTTGATAGAAAAGTAATGGAAAGATGCAAAACGTATGTCATCAAAAAAAAAAGCAAAAAAAAGAACCACCCAAATACGGTAGTAATTAGGTGTTGAGTAAACAATAACAAATTTTTTATGACTAATTATATATGTAACCATTATTCCGCCATTTATTACAGCACTGATACGTTGAAATATTACTCATTGATTTTATTCTTCATCGTTGTTGCCACCACTTAACTGCACTCTGTTTTGAGTAATAACAAAAATTTTTTTCTTCCAGTTTTATAGAACTATTATCTTCCTCCTTTCATTATTCCGACTAATTAAACAGTTTATATTTTTCTTGTAGGTACAGCACTAAAGATTTGATGAAGATGAAGGAGCAGGAGGATCAAAAGCTAACGACACAGGAAGACAGAGAAATGATTAAGATAAAAAAAATTGATTAATGAATTGAACAATATTAATCCGGTTCAAAAAAAGTATGTGTAAAAGAAGATAATTTCCAAAATATTAAGAGAGTTAAATTTGAAAACAAATAGTCCACTAAATTGTATGTGTATTCGTTGACTTATTTATACAGTTTTCAGCAAAACTGTTTTCTAACAACAATTTGAATGTACTAACAAATGTTATTTGAAGTGTTGTTTATCCTAGGATTTGCACTTGATAAGCATTGCTTATCTATTTTTTTCCCGTAAACTTATTCAATACATTTTTTTGGTAGTAAACAATTGATAGTAATAAATCTAAGCGAAAAAAAAAAACAAAAACAAACAAAGTTATAAAATTTTCAAAAGAATTCTTTTATTTCTGTTTATAATATGAAAAATTTTTCTTCCCAAACTTAACAAATACTTATTTTCTAATAGTCATTGTAATTAACAGTACATTACAATTATCTCTGTGATATCTGTGTGTTTGATAACAGTTAATGTTACTAATGAAATTTTCGAACAGTAAAAACAGATGAATAAATTAATGAAATTTATATTGTTTAAAACAACAATAATCATATTTAATTTTTTATTGTACAATTTTTTTTATTTTTTCTTAAATTAATATAATTTGTTGTTTTAAAAAAAAAAAAAAA